TCCTATCCCCTGTGTGCCTTGATGAGAAGAACACACACCTAAAATTTCAAGTGATTTGGATCTGTATAAAAATAAATAAAATTTAAGCACTACCGGACATCTGTGATCGTCAAATCGGCCCAAATTCAATCTAAACTGTTGGGTTCATATATTCATATGAGCTAGTGGGCTAATCTCATATTTTCCCTGTGTATAAGAGTATATAATATCTTAATTATTGGGTTGGATCTGGATCAGATCCATCTACACCGAGATCCAATAAAAAATACTAATTTAAATCCAAATTTTGGATCTAGATAGGATCCGAAATTTAAGGTTTGAGATCCAAAACGAAACAATTCTCAATCCTAAGCCCATCCAAGACCCAGGCCCGGACCGTTGCCCACCTTACGTGTAGAGAGAGCGTGAGTGAAAAACATGTAATCGTGCGCCATACATTTCATGCGTAGCAGGAAGTTGGAAAGAGAAAGTTAATACATGAAAACTTCCCCTGCTATTTTGGTTAGAGAGAGAGAGAGGCCACTAGGAACTGAGCCACCAGTCTGAAGGGGTGCCAGTCCATAACAACCTGGCTGGTTCCTCGTTTTGTAATAAAATATTTCAAGGGCATTTTTATCATGGTACATATATGTCACCTTTGTTAATATCAAAATTTTATAGTCCGTTGATGAGAGAGGACCACCCCATGAATATTAGTTTATGAAATTAAAATTTTAAACATCGTTTATGAGAGAGAATCACCATGAATGTTAATTTATGAGCAACAAGCACCTCCTTTGGAGAGAAATGCATGCTAAAAATACCTAGGTGGTTAGCCTGCTAGCTTAATTTATTTTTATTTTGAGTAAAATGCCCTTATTGATGGGGGCTTCTCCACCATCTTTGGTAAAGTAGGGTAATCGCCGCTGAAACTTAAAGGAATTGTCCTCATCATCTTTGGCAAAGTAGGGTAATCGCCATTGAAACTTAAAGGAATTGACGGAAGGGCACCACCAGGAGTAGAGCCTGTGGTTTAATTTGACTCAATACAGGGAAACTTACCAGGTCCAGATATAGTAAGGATTGACAGATTGAGAGCCTTTTCTTGATTCTATGGGTGGTGGTGCATGGCCATTTTTAGTTGGTGGAGCATGTAGATCACAAATTTTAAAAAATTTATAAAAATACCCCCAAGAGATGGACTATATAACGTTTTATTCATATATTTTGATTTAATTTTAATATAACTATCCAAAGACATATGATCACTAAATACTTGCAAATAAGTAAAATATTAGGAATTATTGAAATCGCTTTTGACCCTGCACCCATCCACACAACAAAAAAAAAAAAAAAAGAAAAGAAAAAAAATAGCAACTCAGTTTTTTTTTTTTTTGGGTGGGGGAAAGGGGGGCGGGGGGTTAATTTTCCCTAAAATATTTAATCATTGGCTTCCATATTGTCTCATGCGGGCTGGACAGCATGGCGATCCAAAAAGTGTAAAGCATCCATTTTAAAAATGGATGCAAGTAGGTGTTCCATCTAAAATAAATGGAAACTAACCATCTTCAAGTTTTCTTACTTAAGATTTATTTATTTTTTCATATTCATGATCTCCACGATAGAGATTACATATCCTTAAAAATTAAGTCAAAAAATCCATCTAAAAAATAGATTTATTAATAAGCCTGCATTTCTCCATATGCGGGCTTGGCCGCATAGAAAGCAGGTCGTATTTTAAAATAGATGAGCAGTTTTGTAATTTCGGTTACACGAAAATTACCCATTTCCGATTTTCACCAAGTAAAATTAGGGATTTCCTAAGGCGTGATTACTGCGTGAAAGCAACGGTGACATCATAATGCTTTTATTCTGCTAAGTGAAAAAATAATCGTCTTCCCCATATTATTTTTGTGATTGATTTAACAAATGACACGTAACCATCATTATGAAAGTCCCACTTTTACTTACAACTGACGAGATAATAAGTTCAAAATGCCCCTTAAATTTATTTAAGGTTGCAACTTGGAACCTTATTCTATAGATGTAAGGTGGACCTCATAAATCCAATAGAAAAGAGTGTTTAGAAAAAGAACTAACAAATTCAAGTCTTGAAAATAGTTTCTTTTGTAACACGTTATTTGAACCGTCTGTCATCAAGATTTTAAAGTGTTAGTAGATATGCTTAATCCGCATTATTTTTAGAAATTTACATTTCATAATTAGGGTTGATAGATTTTTTCTCTATCTATCTATATATATGAAAAACTTTGAAAAATACCTATAGGCGAAATGTAATAGTGTTTCACCCCACCACGGAGATGCTATGTTTGTGACAATTTTGCTTTAAAAATTGTAACGAATCTAAGCGAGCCGTAGCGGTTGCCCGTGTTTTTTATGTGAAAAATTACCACCAAGGACATGCTATGTGTCTGTGATGGAACCACCACGGACATGCTAGGTCCGTGGCGGTCTTTTAATCCATGCCGTCTGAAAATATCGGACGGCGCTGAGCCTATGGGTGAAAATATTGTTTATTTTCGCTCATAGACGTTGAATAATATCTTCT